CGGGGCAGCAGGACGGCGAGTCAGTGTGCCGGTGCCCCTCCCCGAGTGCCGACATGAAGTGGGTGAGTGCGCTTCGCCTTTTCGTATTTTCCGGACGCTATGTGTGATTTGCGGTTGTTTGTGGTTATCTCACGGTTGTGACTGTGATTCCAAACATGTTCTGTTATGATATTTATTATGATTTATTAAGAATTTAGTTGTAAAAGTAGTGGGAGAATTGTTTAGAACGTGCGATAAATGTTTGGAATACGTTCGGTGCTGTTACAGTTACGGAGAAAAAAACTTCCGCATTGCGCTGCTCACTTGAGTCGTGTCCAGGAGCTCGGAGGCCTTTTAACCTTGACTAGTTTTTGACTTGAGGCGCCGAGGTTTTTGCTCCTTCTCCGTGGGCAATGTGCGCGGGAACTCATTGCTGAAACGAAGTAAAGGATGATGATCAGATCTATAGTCCTGGAGCTGCGTCGAAGTAGGAAAGAAAGTTTGTGCTTTCTGCGATAGGGACGGAATTATTTGAGCTTAAGGAAATACAGACACACACAACCCCCCCCCCAACCCACACATGCACAACCTCCCACCCCCCCAACACACACAACTCCCCCCTCTCCCCTACACAGTCCTCCCCACCCCACCCCAAGCACAACGTCACAATCCATACTATTACTATTTAACACAATGCTAATCCACCCCTTCCCCCAGGTCTTAGTGGTGGCAGCGGTGGTTGGCGTGGCGGCGAGGACCATCTTCGACTACGAGCGAGATGGCCTGGAGAACGAGCAGAAGGGCCAGCCAGGGCAGGCCGTGACGGGGGAGTACGAGTAAGTTCCTGAAGGTTCTATCGAGACTGAATAAAAAAAAAAAAAAAAAAATATATATATATATATATACATAATATATATATATATATATATATATATATATATATATATATATATAGAGAGAGAGAGAGAGAGAGAGAGAGAGAGAGAGAGAGAGAGAGAGAGAGAGAGAGAGAGAGAGAGAGAGAGAGAGAGAGAGAGAGAAGAAGAAGAAATAGAAAGAGAAGAGAAAAGAGAGTAGAGAAAAGAGGGGGTCATTCAGACTAATTGTCCTTCTCGCTCGCCAGGTGGAGAGCCCCAGATGGTAAGGTGGTGGAGATCTCCTACGTCGCCGACCACCTTGGCTTTCGCCTCGTGGACGACCCCGAGCCGACCGCGACCCAGTCAGGTGCCGCACGATCCCTGGGGGAGGAGGAGGAGGAGGAGAAGAGGAGGAGGCGGAGACGACGGAGGAGCGCGCGAAGTGAGGACCGAAGAGGAAACAGAGGAAGAAGAAGGAGAGGAGGAGTCGGAGGGCAGATCTGAGGGGACGGAAGAGGAGGAGAGCGAATCCTCCGGCAAGGAGAAGTCCGAGGAACCCGAGGAGGGCGCTGAAGCGGAGGAGAAGTCGGCCGAACCCGAGGCCGAGGAGGCCGAAGCGGAGGGACAGGAGCCAGAGGCCGCGGAAGCCGAGCAAGGTAAGGCGGACGCAGAGGCAGAGGAAAATGCCGGAGCCGAGGGAGCGGCCAAAAAGGCGTCGGAAGAAAGCGCTACTGCTGACGAGGTCGAGGCAGAGAGCGAAGCGGCCGGGGCAGAAGCCGAGGTAGCCGAGGCTGGAGGAGAGCCCGCGGGCAAGCAGCTGAGCTCTGGGACGCCTGTCCTCGTCCCGGTGAAGGTCGAGTCTAACTTCGATTCCGTTTCTCTCGCGACTGAAGCGCCGGTGATCGCCACGGCGGAAATGCTGCCGCCTGTGGCTCCCTTGGTCGCCCCGATGACTGTCGAGGCTCCTGCGGCCCCTGTGCCTTCTGCAGAAGTCTCCTTCGATGCTGCTCATAGCGCGTCTGCAAACCTGGTACCTCAAGACCTTGTCCTCTTTGTAATTCCTCCTGTCGAGCAATTCGTCACAGTGCCTGATGTTTCCCAGCCAGCTCCTGCCACGGCGCCTTTCGCTTCCGCTGCATCCGCGCTTCCCCTGGAAATCCCTCAGCCCGCTTTTACTGATTCTGATCTGGTTCTCACGGAGCAAGGGTCAGAGGAACCGGTGCTGCTGCTGCCAGAGCTTCCTCTCGCTCTCGTGGCATCTCCTGAAGGCACCAATGTGGTTCTCGAAAAGCCTGTTTTCGAGAAAGTCGAAGTTTCAGCTCCCATTGGAGTGCCTGAAATCGACTCCGACATTGCTGTGATCGCCAAGTCCTATGATTCCGTCCAGGCAGCACCTCAGTTCCTCGCCACAGACCTCTCCGGGAGCTTTGACCCAGTTGCAGACATACCAGCATCATTATCAGTGATACCAGCCTCGGACACTGCCTTTGTGCCCGTGGAAAACATCCCCAAAATGATTCGCTTTGAGGAAGTTGTAGAGGTGAGTCCTGAAGTGGCACTGGCTCCTGAACTCCCTTCCCCGCTCCCGCTGATCCAGCTTGACGAGGTGGATCCTTCCTTCGTTTCCGTTGAAATCCCCGCCGCGCCCCTCCCGCAGCCGGACA